AGAGGTTGTAAAGCTCAGGCAGAAAAATTTTATTTTACTGTCTCATTGCTTGTCTCGTCATTATTTTGACCATCGCTATATGCTAGGGCTAGGCCTTATTAAAGAAGTCGTTTTAACTAGTTGTTATCCAAAATAGCCGACAACACATCTGGACTCGGTTCTCAACAGCTTTTCAGTGTCTAGACGCTGAGAAACGCATCAGAAGTTTTATAGGTGAAAAAAATCGGTGGATATTTTAACAGACAATGGCAAAAAATAATATTAATATTTATCATTCGATAGTTTATTTTGAAAAAGTATTTTATAAGGAGGAATACTTGGAGCTCTTAAGATGATTATAAACAAATCAGTTTAGGAATTTTTACTTTGTTTAAACGATTTTTGCAGAGTTTTTTAACTTGCAAATTTGCAAAAGTCGTAGAATTGTATGGTCATATTAACGGTGAGAAAACGTCATCTTTTAGAAGCTGTAACTGGGAAATAAAGAGAAAAGAGGTCTAAACTGACCGACTGGAACTGTTAAATTTGGTCTTTGGGTGAAAAAAAAATGAACGTAATTTTTTTTCAATTTGTGGAAAGTAAAAATGATGAAAATTGATCTGACTTTTTTCTTCACTGATGAACAGTACTTAGGATAAATGATGACGGATACTAATGCGTTTATGGCAAGTAAATTGGGTTTTAAGGGTTGTAGAAACTTTTGTTTCTTGAGATTCTCTGTTTAGCTTCTGTTGCAGAGCATCTGATTAAGCTAAACATACTATTCGACACTTGACAACAGTGATGTGTGCGTTCGGGGAGATATTCAGATTTTTGTTGACATCCGTTTTGGAATAAAGGTGGAGACATTGTTGATAAGGGTTTCTAGGTCATCTGAGCGTATACCGACGTTTGTTCCACGCTCAGTAATTGTTGGTTGAGCAGTTCAGCGATATTTCAAGAACAGCTATGTATCATCATTATCATCATCAGCATTTCCGTCATCATCTGTCGTTGGCGATGCATCACATACTTATCCTTCTAGCTGTAGTTTTATGCTCAGGTTTAGCTAATGCTCGACAAATGCGTAGTCTTCATAAAATTCATCCATCATGTTTGGGATCAAGACGAGTGGTAGGTAACGTTTTGATAACATCTACCTTATTTTTCTCAATATGCACAATACGATTATAACAAATCGGTGGCAGCAACAGTTCAGCAGCAGCATCTTAGGAAAGATGCCATTTTATGACACTGACAAAAATCAGACATTGTTTATTTTTTCAACTTTTATAAGTTTTTTGCGTTTAAAGCAAAAGAATTTTTGAACAGTAAAAAAAATTTACTTTTGCTTGAAAATTACATACTGAAAAAAGACCGAATGAATAGCTGATAATAAGGAATTTTGAATTCGATTTGCCATGGTTGTACAATGGATGACTTTTTCAAAATAAACTCTGAACAGCTTGCAGGTGTGAAAACGAACAGCAGAATTTTCAAGAAACTTTGCTTTGTTATTTCTGATGCTAATAAAATTTGCGAAAAGAAGAAGAAATTAATTCATTTTTTGAGGTTTTTAAAAAGCTGATTTTGTATTTTCTTTTTCATTTTATTCTATTTATTTTACTCTACATTTTTTTTTGTTTTATTGATTAGAGCACAAAAATACCTGCAGTTGATTGAAATGGAACAATTGTTTTTTTTTTGTTTTAAATGAGCATACGAAAATGGAAAAAAAAATATGTAATTTTTTAACAAATTATAAACAAATCGAACACATCTGAGAATGGACAATTAAAAACAACAGTAATAGCAAAACAGAAAAAATCTAGTTGGGCTTATGTTTTTTTTTTTTTTT